GCAGATTGCTTACAGGTTACTACAGTAAAATGTGTTCTCTTATTTTGAGCCATAATACATTGACACAATTGCCTTGCTTATTTTTGATTTTGTGCCACTAGTTTTTATCAACCTCTTGTATTTCTTTGAAAATGACCTGTTTGACCATAAACCTTTCTTTTGTGCCCTTATTGTCTGTTCAACAATTAGTGTTCAGCTTTATTGTTTACCTTTGAGTTCCCTAAGCCAAGAAGAAGCCAGCTTGCCCTCTCCTATTATTTAGGTTCCCGTCTATTGAGTCTGTGTTTGCATAACAATTTAAAACCCTTTGATGAGCAGAGCTTGGTAGAAATTAAGCACATTTTGCAAATCTGGAACATTTTCAGTTGTAATGTTTTTGTGCAATGTACGGAGATCAGTATGTGCTATTGAACTACATTGTGTTCTTTGTGTGCATATATTTCTCTATTGTAATCTTCAGCAAAAAGCTTGCTTTTTAAATTGTTGTCATCTGCCAGGTCATAAATAGGACTGTATACCCTTGGGGCTCTATCCATAGATCTGAAACAAAAGATTTAAGGGAACAAAGTTAGACTTCACACTCCACACTTCATCTCACATGCTGGCTTGGTTTGTCTCCACCAAAGCAATCAATTGTTCCAACAACAGGAATGCAGCATCCGGAAATGCATACTGTATTCTTCCTTTATTAATATAGCCAGCAGAGACCAGTGACCAGTTCCATTTTGACATGTTTCATGCTAGGCACAGTGCTTTCTTAAAACAAAAACTGTTGCTGGTACAATTAAAATGTATTTTAATTGGCTGTAAACCTCAGGCATAAACAATTAACAAAACCTATTCCTCTATAGTGTGTATTTGTCTCAATCCAGAATGCTACATGTCATTTCTGTCTGCTGCTTTTTTCCTCTACTATCAGCATGAATCACTTCTGACCAGGTTTTCCTGACACCAAGAGGAAAATGGTGACAGGGGAGCAACCTCCAGCAGATTGACAGCCTCATCTCTGTTCCTGTGAGCTGTGTGGGGGTGTGGTGGAGGGGGGTGGTTTCCCTCCTCCTTCCCTCAGCTTTCAGAAGTCTCCTCATTGAGCTCTGTGGAGTGTGACTTCAGCTCTCCATCCCCTTTTTTTTCTGAACTCTGACAGGCTTTATAAATTCTGAACTTTGAATAGATATAGAGAAGAGAAGTAAACAGATACACAGAGAGGAGACAAACCCTCCTACATAAGTTGTACCTGTTTTTTGCCTGAGGCCAGTCACTTTACTGGGTATATGTAAGGGTTTACAGCCACTTTACGTTTCTCTAGCGAAAACATTTTCATTTTGCTTTCTATGTCTCTTTTGGGAGATTTCCCTTCTCTTCCTGTCCTGTTGCACAAGTTGTCACTGTAGCAGGAAGTGAGGTGAAAATGGAAGTGAAATTTCCATTAGGCAAAGCAATAAAAAGCTAACATAGGTTCTAGCCTACCCCCACCCTGGCAATAACCAGTGTTTTTTATTTTCTTTTGTGCCCTTGTTAAATAAATGTCCCAACACCTCTTATGCTGGTGACAGTGTTGACCATTACTGTGGCCCCTAGTGGGAAATTCATCCCTCTATTTCTCCAGGTGTCCTTTGATGCTGTGACAAAAAGTATGGTTAAATCTAACATTTTAGAGTTGTCACTAGAACAGGAGGTGAGGGTAAATAATCCAATAGTGACTATATACTGGTGACAACTGTCTAAAATAGGAAATTCTCCTCACATTGGGTAGGTGTATCTCGTTTCCTGTAATGTCTCCAAGACAGGAAATTAAGGGAAATCTCTCAAATCAAACACAAAAAGCAAAAAAATAAAGTGATAGAGTGTAAAAAACCTTTCTAGAAAAAAAAAAAAAAAGTTTTGACTATACAAAAAACTTTATATGATTGCAATCAGAAATGAACAACTTTCCTACTGGGCACTTATACCCCCTTCGTGCCCTGGTCAATTTTCAGCTTTCAGCGCTGTCGCACTTTGAATGACAATTGCGCTGTCATGCAACATTGTACCCATATGAAATTTTTATAATTTTTTTCATACAAATAGAGCTTTCTTTTGGTGGTATTTAATTGCCACTGGGTGTTTTTATTTTTTGCACTATAAATGAAAAAAGAGCAAAAAAAGTGAAAAAAAAAAGTTTTTCTTTGTTTCTTTGATAAAATATTGCAAACAGGTAATTTTTCTCCTTCACTGATGTACGTTGATGAGGCTGCACAGATAGGCAGCATTGATGAGGCGGCACTGATAATCAGCAATGATAGTCACTGATGGGTGACACTGACGGAAGGCGCTGACTGGCAGCCCTGACTGATGGCACTGCTAGGCGGCACTGCTGGGTGTATCTGCTGGGCAGCACTAATGAGTGGCACTGGTGGGTGGCACTGCAGGGCCCTGATGATCAGTGCTGATGTCCTCTGTGACAGCGTGAGGAAAGTGCTGCCAATAACCACCAACTGTAGTTACTCTGTGATCTGCTGTGTCATTGGACACAGCTGATCACGTGGTTAAAGGCTGCTGTGATTGGCCTTTTACCTCATCACATGATCAACTGTGTCCGTAGGACACAGCGATCATGGAAATCATCGGGGTCACGCGGGAGGGCACGTTCTGGGAGGAGGTCATATGATGCCCTCCCAGAACTGGGTAACTGCGCTGTAGCCATCATTCGGCTGTAGCGTGGTTGCCAAGTGGTCAAAGATCACTAGGTTGATAACTGTAAAATGAGTCTGAATAATTGTTTCTTGGTTTTTCGTTCTTTATAATAACTTTTCTTTTTATCTAGAAATTTCAGGTATTTGAAAAGAAAAGGTAAACTTCAGGATTACAAACTCTTGTCAATAGTTGCGTTTTTTGGAGACAGATATATAAATGATAAGTGGAGGCCTCTGAGTTCTTTCATAATAAAACTTAAGATGATTTTCATTATATAAGCTGCCCTTATTACAAAACCAATAAAAGGCTTCCAAGAGGCTCCTATTTATTCTTCACTTTATTGTTTTGGCTTTATGAAGCAATACTTCAGGGATCCAGTGACAATAAAATGGCCTCTAGTGCAATCTATTGACTTCCAATGTTTATATTAGGTGTGTTTTTAAATGCCACAACTTGAATTCAGACTCCAATATCCAATTTAATTGAGCATAACTGTTTTTCTTCCTGCATAATCTGAAATATATATAATTTTTTTTGCCTTTCCTTTTGTAGTGCTTTGTTATTACATGTAATATGTACACTTGGCTAATGCCTGATCTCTCCATACCATGATCAGGATGACAGTAACACATGCTATTCAATCTTGCTTGTTGAATGTAAATACCCCCAGAGCGCTGACCATATGTTGAATACTTAGCTCTCATCCAAATCAAGACCACAGTGAGGGAGAACATACTTTACATCCAATTTTATGTAAACCCTTAAGTGATTGATTTGAAATCAAGTTAAACTGCACATTCCAAAAGCTTTGTTAAGCAATAAATATGTATTAGAGCTGAACAATTTTATTACCATTTGCTGGCACATTCTAATATAGAGCTGGCATTCTATAATGATGAACAATATGGCACTTAAGTAACAAGAAATAATGCTTATTTAGACCAATTATGGTTCATTGTTCTGGCCTGCCACTTCACCCTCTGAGCTCATTGATTTATTAAATAATTATACCTGCATTTTTATGAGGGTGGAGAATATACTAACAGCTTATAATTCAGTATTTGGCATAATTTGGTAAATTGTACCATTGAAGAGCAAAGTTGCCTATTGTAGAGTTGAATGTAAGGACTATAGTGTGTGTTCCTTTGCGTTTCACAGCCAGCATCCATGGCACATCTGTTCATTTTATTTTTTGCAGTGTTTAAGGGTCCATTCTTATACTCCTATTGAAAGCAACAGATGGAACTTTGCCCCATTGTTTACATTGTCTGAAGTTTTGTCTGTTTGCACATGGGGCACCTTTATATCTGACTGGAAAAGACATAATGAAACTATTGCGTTTAGATTGGTGGCTGTGTGTTTACTACTCTCCCATTATAGTGCCATTGCCATATATTTGGCTTCAATTCTTAGCAGATAACACTGCATGGATTTTGTATGCCTTCCCACATATTCTGGGTTTTTTTTTTTTCAGAATCCAATTAAAAAATATTCAATTATTATATTATACAGGATTTATATAGTGCCAAAAGTTTGCTTAGCGCTGTACAATATAAAGGGAGACAATACAGCAACAATACAGTTTAGTACAAGAGGGTTAGGAGGTCCCTGCTCCTCGGAGCTTACAATCTAAGAGTGTTCAATGAGTTTAAATGTGTCTGCCTACACTGACCCAAGAGTTCTTTGAGGAGTTTACAATGCAAGGACATAAAAGTGAAAAAAAGATTGGAGCTTATATGAATTGTACTGTGTAAAGCATCTTGCATAGAAATTCAGTGCTACTGCAATTACAAGTAGTACATATAGCTCTTCAATCTGTGCTGGGTACACTTTATATGTACCCAGGATAGCCCTCACTGTTTTTAAACTCTGTGTTTCCTATGAAATGACACACCATGCCAGGGGCGGACTGACAACTTATGGGGCCCCCGGGCAATAGGGGATCATGGGGCCCCTGTGTCCTTGCCCAAACTCAAAAAAGCCTATGAAAAAGGTACCAGGAGCATCTCATGGGGCCCCCTACTGACCCCGGGCCCTAAGGCAGTGCCCAAGTTTTCAAATGGTCAGTCCGCCCCTGCACCAGGCTCATTCACACTGCACGCATTGGCAAGCAGACATGCTGCATGTAATTGCAGTGCCGCACTGCAACTCGAGAACTGCACAGCAATGCATTAAACAAAGCACATCAATGCCAGGGTGTTTGTTTGTTAAAAGCAACACACCTGGTGGGAATCCAGCCTTAGTACTTTTTTGGAGCAAAATAACTAAAATAATTTTGAATGATGTCTGTTTTTCTAATGAACTTCCCTATTTTTGTTTTATAGAGCTGGAGTGGTCCGGAAAAGCTGCTGGCCCTGGATGAACTTATAGACAGTTGTGAACCAACTCAAGTAAAGCATATGATGCAAGTTATTGAGCCTCAGTTTCAGAGGGACTTTATATCTTTACTGCCTAAAGAGGTGAGATTTGTCAGCTGTTAGAGGGCACAGCTAGTTGTATAAACACAAGCCGCCCTCATCTGCCACCTTTAACTGCTGCTAAGCTAATTACGATATTCAGCAAAGTCACTTGTGCTGTGTTAATTGGTGCTTAAGAGCGATGCAAGGCGACACATCTTTGTGACTTAGCGCAGTAATTCCATGATTAATGTGCGCTTATGAGTGAAAGCAGATTGATGATCATGGCAAGTCCCAAGTCTTGTTTAAAGATAAGTTGAGCTTTTTTCTTGACGCAGGTTTGTCTACTGCTGAGTCTATGTTTTACTTTTGCTCAATCTACACAGTAAAATAACACTGCTATGGCTGCATTTATTTGTGTTTATCCAATGCCTTTGTGGTGAGTGCTGCAATGTAGAGCTGTGTATCCTGTCATAACCTCTCCCCATGCACAGAGCATTGATCCACACTGCATTGCAGGCTCCTCATACAGCAGTACTTCTTCTTCCTAATACAATGGCTAGAAGATAGATTTCACATATTGCGTTCTTTAGAGAATACATGGTACCTTTCTGCTTTAGGTGATCTTCATAAGTTTAAAAGTTTGCCTGAGTGTACTGATTGTTAAATATATAAATCTAGTTATTTCACAATCTTTTTGTTTAGCTTTTCTTGTCATTTGTGGCCTTCAATCAAGAGAATTATTAATAATGTAATCCGGTTTTCAATCTTCACTTCCTAATCTAGTGCTGTCTTACACAGCAAATCATGATGAAAATTTGATTAGCAATACAATTATAGTAGGAAGGTCACTCTTTGTTATAAGATTTACTGTCAAATTCAAGTGAGCGCTTAAAGTGACTGTGGTCTAATTTTTTTTTCTGTCATTGAAGATATCATTGGTTTAAAGAAACTGTGCTCATATAATTATGAGTATAGAACAATGGTCTAATATTAAAACACCCCATAGTTGGTGTAGAAACCTGTCAGGTACCCAGAGCAAACTTTAAATTGACTGTAAACCTCAGACACGAAATATGATCAAAGCATATCCCTTTATAGTGTGTACTTTGTCTCAGTTAAGAGCACTAAGTATCATTTCTGTCTGCTGCTTCATGATTTGTTATCTGCATGAATCACTTTTGACAAGTTTTCCTGACACCAAGTGAAAAATGGTTGTGGGGATGGACCTCCTGCTGATTGGCAGCCTCAGCTCTGTTCCTGTGAGCGGTGTGAAGGGCTGTGTCCTTTTCCTCCAATCAGCTCTCAGAACTCTCCTCACTGAGCTCTGCAGAGTGTAACTCTAACTGTAACTTCAGCTCTCTGCCCCCTGTTTTCTGAGCGCTCAGACAAGCTTTATAAAATCAGCACTTTCAGTGGATGTAGTTAAGAAAAGACTGCAGATAGACAGGTACAACTTATGTAGGAAAATTTGTTTTATCTTTGTGTATCACCTAGGGCCAGTCACTTCACAGGCTATATGTAAGGGTTTACAACCACTTTAACCATTTTTTGTGATTACCTGTATTTCTTTGCCTATATACTGTAGTATACAGCTATATCATAAAGTTAGTAGATTTTTGGGGGCAGGGTAGGTTAAGCACCATCAATTTACATGCTCGTCCACAAGCTGCAGGACCTTACAGTGGGATATGTGAGATCATCTTTGTGCTTATATTCACGCATGAGCAGGGCATATGTATGTATATATATATATATATATATATGTGTGTGTGTGTGTGTGTGTGTGTGTGTGTATATATATATATATATATATATATATATATATATATATATATTCCTAGTGATTTTGAAGGTTTTTTTTTTTTTTTTTTCTGAAAGGGGGTTGATGCCTTTTTAAAAAAAGTAAAAGCTTTGTGCATTCACTTTTTTCACATGTGTCAAGCTTCAGGCATTTGTTTCCTGTGATGAGCAAGGGCAGGAGATCAGTTATAGAGGAGACAAAGGAGTTCTTGAGGCACTAAAAAAAGTGCAAGAAATGTGCATGTTACACATTTACAGGCACTCCCATAGGAGTCTGTGAGGACAAAAATGTCTAATATTGCTAAAAAAAATAGCTAATTTGCTTATTTGAGCATGGAGCTTACAAGCAACTGAGAGCTGAAATGTGAACAGGTCTAATTACATACAATGAGATTCTGCATGTTGAGTGTAGTCACACTGTAAAAGGATCAGGTGTGAATGGGGGATTAATGAGAACTGTTCAGGTCTCTAATTTAGCGTTTGCTTATCCAGTTCTTATAATAACCTTGCAGAGCAGCTAGAAACAAAAATTACCTGCTAGACCAGTGGGGGTAAACCAGCAGGATAACAAGAGAGCCTGTATGATGCTACAGGCATTGTATTTGACTAAGCCCGGGGCAGTGCAAATCCATTGACCACTTGCCTGCATTCAGCTTAACATGCTCTTCCAGGAAAGCACTCAGGCATGCTTATCGCCTGTCAGACGTTCTTATATTCTGTGGTAGGTATGGGTTCTACAAGTCTCTTAGTCAAAAGACCACCAGCTAGGTTGACTTCTTCATTTTGTAATTTGTTTCTGAATTATTATGACAGTGATTCTGTATGCACACAGCTTTGCTTGCTAGAGAAATATGGTGAGGTTGTTTGCTCAGTCTGGCCACTATCTACTGCCTATGATATATGCTTCTCCTAGCTGTGCTCCTCAATCTCTCCATTCAAGTGAAGTAGCATGATTTCAAAGCTGCAGCGACTTCGTGCAAAGATGTTTATGACAGTTGCACGGGAAATCTGTATTTGAACAGTTCCACAGGCACAAAACAGAGTGCAACTTGTCATGTGATTTGAAACGGTCAAATCAAATGACAAGTCGCACCAGTGTGAACCAGGGCTTAGAACTTATTCCCACAGGCATAAAAAACGCATTTAGATGCATACAGCAGATAGTGTTGTACGCATCTAAACACAGCAATATACTAATGATCTCATGATCTCATATACTATGATGATCACATACACACAGCTGCGTGTACATTCAAAAATGTGCATTGCTTGTAGCTGTGCAGAAAAAAGTAGAACATCTACATGACTACACAGATCTGTAGATCGTACGCCCATAAATGTGTAGCCATTCATTTGAATGAAAGAAGAATTGTACACATCTAAACGTGAGTTCTTGAGATGTATATTTTCTGCAGGATCTTCTGCTAGCTGTGCCAGGAAGAACCTGCATTCCGTACAGAAAATACGCATATGCATGTGTGAATGAAGCCTTAGCCACCTTCTGCTTAAATTTAAGTTTCCAGGAGCATATATAACTTTAATTGCAGTTATACCATTCTGAATACACGAGGCAGGATACTGTTCCAGTGCCAGTTTTGAACAGTTTTTCTTTTAGCTCTTCTTTGTAAATTTGGCTTAATTTCTCACGTGAGCTAAGCATAGAATTTTCAAAGACATTTCATTGCTCATACACAGACGAAATTCCATAGTTTGTTTCTCCCTTATGTATTTTGGTATATACTTCTCCGATTTAGTCAGCACACACTCTATATTTTTTTAATGTGTGTTAAGCTTTAAAAAAACTTTATGCTATTTACCATCTTGAATATTGCAGTAACTATGTATGCCTTGTTTTCAGAGGAAAATATTATAAATGATACCACAATAGTCTGTCCAATTATTTTTAATTGTATTTTGATCATATTCACTGGTTTAAAGCTCATGGTTTAATGAAGGGGATGTGTAAGGGGATATTCTGGCAATAGTTTAATTTAATCCTTTGGAGGATTGTGTCTTTAGAGAACTACACTTAGAAATAAGTAATTTCCTCCCTGATTTGATGTGTCTCATTTACCAGAGCCAGCTGTTAGTTGCAATCTGGCACTACACCATACTGCAATACAGAACGTGGTGTATATACAACGTGGAGGCACACCGAGTTAAAACAATAAGGGACAAAGCCAGGGCAGTGTTTGAAAAGGCTAGATTACATTTGGCTGTGTAAGAATGGTCTTTTTTTATTTTACTAAATATGCAGTGGTTAACAAAAAAACTTATCTAATTTTATAACACCTTATATTTCTAAAGACTCATTTGCGATTGAAATGACTGGAACGAATGTTTCCTGTTAATATCAATATCTATTACCACTATGTTAATGCTGTGAAAAGTGCAGAAAATCTGCATTTTAATGTGAGCTTCCAAACCAGAGTGAGAGACATTGAGCAGATGTTAAGAGGTTGAATTCTGGGAGCTGAAATGCAGGTGCATCAGTTACGCAAATGCCAGATCATTTAAAGGAGAACTGTGCGATGCGCACTACTATATATGCCAAGCATAACGAGCTTGTACTTTTTTCAGAATAATGATGCTACATAGTCACAGCCAAACCTATTTCAGTTGGGCTTAGAATAGAAGAAAGTTAATCATTTTCCACCATCACAAGGTCCTGTCTTCTGTGGACTCAAAGTATAGATTAGACTTTGACTTCAACTACAGGCAGGGCTTTTAATCAGTGGCAATGCGGGGGAACGCAGTTCCACCACTGAATGTTAGTAATGGCAAGGGGTCCTAGGGTGTGCTGGAAGGTCTATTGATGCTGGCTGCTAGGGAATCTGTTGTCACTGGAGGAGATCTATTTTTGCATGGTGGTCTGTTGTTGTTGGGGAGGTCTATTGTTGTTGGGGAGGTCTGTTGTTGCTGGTTGTGTATATATTGTTGCTGGAAGGGATCTATTGTTGCTGGCTTCTGGAGAGTCTATTGATGCTGGCTGCTAGAAGATGTGTTGGTGCTGCTGGGGGCTAATGTTACTGGGGTGGTATTGTGTTGCTGGGGTGTTATATTGCTGGCTGCTGGGAATCTATTTTACTGATTTCTTGTTATTATTAACAAATTCTTACAAATTACTTGGCATCGCAAAATATTTGGCTGTGTATGCTCTATAAGGAGCAGTAGGTAGGGGGTGAAACCAAGGGCCAGTGATCAGAGGTTGGAAGGGGACGGAGGTGAGAAGTGATTCAGAAGGGGGGAGTTCCTGCACCTATTCTCTGAGGGAAAAAAAACGCCCTGTGTGTGTGTGTGTGTGTGTGTGTGTGTGTGTGTGTGTGTGTGGTGTGTGTGTGTGTTTTTTTTTTGTATCAGGCCTGGTGGTCTCTATTCATCCACAAAAGTAGTAGATGTCAAAGCTGAGTGTCTTCTAATTCATGACTGCATTTTATCATCAGTCAGTATCTATAATCAAAACAGTTCAAAAAGGCTCCTTATTATATATTCTAGCACTTGAAAAGGATTATTTTAAGTGACAACAATGTGGTCATCTATATGTGTCTGAGTGGGAGCGTTACTGTTTAGCTTTACTATATTTTTTTTTTTGCCACGTCTGTAGACATTGGCACTGGCTTTTGTGATCAACAATTCTCTGCTAACCTTTTTTTTTTAACTAGACATTTGTATGTTGTTGGAGGCAGTGAGGACTAACTCCGAAAGACCACGCTACATGCAGGACTGGGCATTATCACACACACACTCTTAGTCCTTATAATTGTAGTTACGTTTGGTGTACAGTTTTTGTTTTAAGGACCTCTTTTGTCTTGAAGTGGTTATATGTTTCAGTTAGAAAGTAGTTAAAGTACTTTATTAGGTGAACTGGCTAGGTAGGTTTTTTTTTAGACTTCTATCTTTTTTTATTGATTTTCATGCCTACATTCATTTGTCTTCTTTTCTAGTTGGCCTTGTATGTTCTATCCTTTCTGGAACCTAAGGATCTCCTTCAAGCAGCACAGACGTGTCGGTACTGGCGAATTCTGGCCGAAGACAACCTTTTGTGGCGGGAAAAATGTAAAGAAGATGGTAAGTATCTACATATATTTCAGATGGCAAAGCTTTTTTTTCTCGTGAGGATTTTTGTTTTTAGTGCAGTTCTTGTTTCCTTTACATATATGTTCCTTCGTACCTTTTTTAGGTATTGATGAACCTTTACATATAAAAAGAAGAAAAGTGCTAAAACCGGGTTTCACGCACAGTCCATGGAAAAGTGCTTATATTAGGCAGCACCGAATTGATACTAACTGGCGACGAGGTGAACTTAAGTCCCCAAAGGTAAGGTTTGCCAGTTTGTATTTGTTTTAACATTTTGTTATATGCTTATGTGCATTTGTTATTTAAAAATAAAAAGATGCTATGCATGAGTCCAGCATTGTAACCATTCATTTATTCAGTTCTAGTAATTGAACAAATTTGACAGAACCTTTCAGACATTTTTGAAAGCGGCCAGCTTGTTTAATAGAGCTTGTGTAATAGAATGCAGTATAGTATGATGCCTATTTTCTGCCTTATAGATAATCAGTGTTTTAACATGGCCAGAGAAAGCGTCAAGGGTTCAATCAAAGTATTAGGTTGCAGGTATTTTGGCTTCTAAATCAGTGTTATACACAACAAACTAACTCCAAACATACATTATAGAACAATAATCATAAAGGACATATTAGAAAGCATTTAAGGGCTGTCTCTGTTCTTTATAGTTTACAGAGTTAAAGCAGGTTTTTGCATTTAGTTAGGGATGTTTGTGTCAATTTTGCAGGAGTTCCATTTTTTTGTGGTGTGATTCCTAACCAACTTTCTTTTCTTTCTTAGGTGCTGAAAGGTCATGATGATCATGTGATTACATGCCTCCAGTTTTGTGGTAACAGAATAGTTAGCGGATCTGATGACAACACTTTAAAAGTTTGGTCAGCAGTTACTGGAAAGGTATGATCATAAAGCCATAAGATGCTGGCCTCTAACTTATCATGCCATAACAAATGTATTGTATTTTTGCTAGGGATTACTGTGTTGGAGATTATGGCTTTCCTGAATGCACCTGTTTAGAATGGGTTCAGTAGCAGCGCGTCTGGTCTTTTGGTGATGACCTGACTTTGGCATCCTGTGCTGTTCTACCAGTCATAAACTACCAGCACAATCTGGCTCACCATGTTTGACCAACTGTTTAGCATAAGGAGGTTAGAATCTTTGGCGCAGACCATGTTGGATGTGTTGGGGTATTTTTCCCCCTCCAAGTTTAGGCAGGTAGTCTAACAGCTTCCTGATTTTTTTTTTTTCTCAATATATGAACCGAAAATGATTTCTGTAGGGATCAAACACTGATATGTGCTGCTACAGTGTTTCTGCTCCATTTTGCAATCTGCTTTGACAGGAGGGGGATTACAGAGTCGTTACAGTATTTCAGTTGCAGTATGTGCCAGCTTGTTAACTGGGTCATCTGGCCTGCAAATTCCAGCAGTGTTGAAATATTTTGGCATTATAGTGCAGATGATAGGAGCCAATTTATCGTTAGCCAGCCATTGTGAATGGCATTTTTTGCTATCAATCCACAATAATACAAATATTTATGTGTCAGCCATATATGGTACTCAGAAGCCATGCTCTTAAAGGCAAATGGAACATCTGTCCTAACTTTTAGCCTTAACAGTGAAGCCCTTTTGTAGGCTTAAAATAAAGTGCCTTTGGGATATAGAGACTTTAGCTACTCCCTGTCTGCCCACATTCTTCGGCATGAGCTGCTCCCATGAAAGAGAGTGCAGACGGTGCCTGGTTTCATTGCAGAGAAACTCAAGTCTTTCATGTTCTGTGAGATCAGTTTAATTAGTGCTCCATAACCAGTATAAAAAAAACCTCCAGTTCTCTAAATTGTGCATTGGCTCTGGTGCTTGTCACACCCTTCGCCTTTATTAGAATATTGAAAGCTGTGCATCTGATCCTCCCGCTGGCAGAAAATCTGTGAGTGACATTTTGTGGTACGTTTTTACTTTGTTCCCACACATGCAGCAGTCCATATCACTGGAGAAGTGTTATGGTCTTATAAGCGTACAGCATATGGTAGCAGTCTAGAAATGATTTTTGCCAAAAAAAATGTAAAAATTGGCCTATCCACTCACAAACCATTAAACTGCAGCATAGTTTAAATTAGGATAAAACTGCATTTTCATAAATGTATGTTTGTTTTATTTCTAAATCCAATTTAATTGTCCTTGTGTCATCATCACTACAGAGTTTCAGGAACGGCTCTCTCATACTTGGTCTTTAGGATTTTAATATAAATGGCATAAAACCTTAAACCAATTTACCTTTCGTTTATAAAACTTTACCTAAGAAGTAGATCGTGAACATGAAGTAGACCTGAATAGATAAATTGGTTGGTCGCTATGTGTAACTGAAAAGTTGAAAGTGCTTGTGAGTGTAATTACTCCTTTTTCTAAATTAATCCTAAGTTTCCAGCTATACTGAATTTTAGAAACACTCAATGTTGGACTATAAGATACGTTCTTTTATTAGGGTATTAAATTGTTTTATTAAGGTCACCAACAGGAAAATGCCCCCCCGCCTACCCTGTATAAAAATATCTGTGTATTTACCTATTTTAATCCACAATGGTTCAGTCAGGTGATCCTGCAGCGTTGGGTCCCATGTGTAAGGGAACGCTTGGCAATAGCTCTGAAGTTATTATTATTGACTTCCAGTTTGGGACAATTCTGGCATTCCTCTCCTACATCTTTTTTTGCTAGAAAACTACTTAGAACCCCCAAATATATATATAGATATACACTGTGTGCACAAATATTAGGCGAGTGAGTTTTATTTCCAAATCATAATTTTTATGCATATTGTCCAACTCCAAACTGTATAAACCTTATTGGATTTAAGCAGATCATGTGATGTGTATTTCTGTAATATTGGAGGGTGTGGCCTAAGGAGATCAACATCCTATATCAAAGTGTGCATAATTGTTGGGCAGATTCTTTTCCTCAGGCAAAATGGGCCGAAAAAGAGATTTAACTGATTCTGAAAAGTCAAAAATTGTAAAAAGTCTTTCAGAGGGATGCCAAGATTTTGGAATGTGATTACAAAACCATCAAACGTTTTCTTGCAAATAGTCAACAGGGTCTCAAGAAATGTGTTGAGAAAAAAAGGACGCCATTTAATTGCTAAATATTTGAGAAGAATCAAACGTAAAGCTACAAGGAACCCATTATCCTCCAGTGCTGTCATATTCCAGAACTGCAACCCACCTGGAGTGCCCAGAAGTACAAGGTGTTCAGTGCTCAGAGACATGGTCAAGGTAAAGAAGGCTGAAACCCGACCACCACTGAACAAGATACATAAGTTGAAATGTCAAGACTGGACCAAGAAATATCTGAAGATAGATTTTTCAAAGGTTTTATGGACTGATGAGATGCGAGTGACTTTTGACGGACCAGATGGATGGGCCTGTGGCTGGATCAGTAACGGGCACAGAGCTCCACTTCTACTCAGACGCCAGCAAGGTGGAGGTGGGGTTCTGATATGGGCTGGTATTATTAATAAATCAGTTAAATATCTTTATTGGCCCATTTTGCGTGAGGAAAAGAAGCTGCCTAATAATTATGCACATCTCAATATAGTTTGTTGATCTCTTTAGGCCACACCCTCCCTCATTACACGAATACACATTACCTGATATGCTTAAATCCAATAAGCATTCAAGTTTATACAGCTTGGAGGTGGACAATATGCATAAAAATTATGATTTGGTAAAAAAAAAAAACCTCACTTCCCTGATAAGTGTGTGGTAAATTTTTTTTTTCAGAGGCATTAGAGAATAAAATGGTGGGCATTGCATATTTTTATGCCTCATGATATTTGCGCAGCAGTTTTTCAAACACAAATTTTTTTTAGACACAATACACTTTAATGGATTTTTAAGCACAAAAATACAATATAATACCCAATTGTTTGAAAAAATATAAAAGATATGGCCCAGTGATACAGCGCCAAATTACTGTACTTTAAAATTTCTATAGACAGCGTTTTAAAAGCATTTGAAGGGTTACCAGTTTAGAGTCGCACAGGAGGTCTGGTGCTAAAATTATTGCTTTTTCTCTGATGTTCGTGATGATGCCTCACTTGTGGCGTGATTGCCATTTACATATGCATGCGGGTCCTACGTGCATTCTTGCATTTGAATGTGAGCACGAGAGAACGGTTGCACTTTAAAATTGTGTAATGTTTTTTTTTTTATTATTTAAAAAAAATTTTTTTTGCTCTGTAACATACTTTTTTTTTTTTTTTTTTTCTTTCTTCATTTACTTTATCACTATTACAAGTGATAAACAATTTCCCTTGTAATAGCATGGGTTGTGACTGATCCTCCAGAGAGATCGAGGGTCTGAGGTCCCCCCCATCTCTCCTTTGACCTCATCATCGGTTTGGTCGGCTGCTTCCCTGCCTGTTACCAGCCAGGTAAACAAAGGACCAAAACAGAAAGTGTCAAAATCCTCGGCTTTTCCTGTTTCTGACCTCACACAGTGGGAGGAACAACCTCCGTTCCTCTCACAGTGTTCCAGGAGCTGGATGGCACCGGACATGTCCTTGCCAGGCTCCCCGATCACAACGGAGAGCTGGTAAAAGTGGCGGCGGCGGCAGTGGGAGGAGGGTTGAACCTATAAACGGAATCCAGCGGCACATTAGCGTCTAAGATTTGTTTTACTTTGAAATCGCCGGGGCTACAAGAGGATATCTCGATCATTGTTTCAGCAATGACTGAGAAATGTCCCTTCCTGTACGAGGAAGTTTATAACCGTACCTTTGACAGGAAGTGGTTAAGAAAAGTTATAGATGGGTTTTTCTTTAACATTAAGCTGGCCATACAGTGTGTGAATTTTGGACAGTTTCATTGGATCAACTTTTGTTCAATTAGCCTGCTTGAAAATTTTTGGCTTTACTGCAGGTATTTTGATACCTGGCTGGGCCGGCTGTCAGCATACATTAGCCCAGCGGGAGATTCATTCATTTGCATAGCGTGGATGGAGGAATAGTTTAGGGTTTTTTTTTTTTTTTCATTTAGATGGAAGGCAGGCAGTGCATGACTAGCTTTGAGGTGGGCACCATATGGCCTGAATATTAGCCTGATGGGCAAAACCAGGGAAGGCCTGTAGAGGAGTCGGCTTACATTAGCTACATATCATTGAGCACTCTTGCAGAGTCTCTACTTGCCTGTGCACCACACAAAGAGAAGCTTTAAATGAATTTAAAAATATTAATAACTACACATGAGGCCTACTCTCAGGCTGTTGCACAATAGTTGTATTTTACAATTAAAACTACAAAAGGAGACTTTAAAAAAACAGTCATGTACGATGAAATTTGTAGCAAAAATATCTTGGTGAGTCATGAATCCTAGATATAAATAAGTCTGTTGGATAGTAAGTCGCTGGGCAACAGGTTCGTGTCACAGCTGTAACATGTAAGTGGGCTGGTTTGACTTGAGATCTGTACCCAACAATATACTAAGTGGGCGTTGAAGGACGAATGACTTTAATAATAACTTAGAGATACAATGGTTTAATTGCAATCCACTGATAGATTGCCTAACAGGATCAAGTGTAGATGACACACCCAGATGTGCATGCATTGACTCTATTGTCAGCAGCATAGCATCTTAAGGCTTTTTTTTTTCTGCATACTTCATTTCATTCTAAAGAAATTAAATCATTTTCTTACCTGACTGATATTTATAACTGTCCTAGTTCATTTTCTTTTTTATGCTTCCTGTATTTGCAAGACTATTTGCAATTAATTATGACTGTTTCAATTCCCAGTACAAAATATAATTAATAAAGATGTGTTTTGGATATTCCAAAAATGCAACAAAAGTCCAAAGCACATTAAGATCTTTAGCATTTGTCAACATTCCTCATTGTACAAGACCGCAGTGCTAGGGGCAAAATATTGTGACTCTATGCAGTTATGTGATTAAGTGTGGAAGCTCTGTTTTCATCTGATATTTTGGCTCTTTCAGTGAGACAGTGTGTATTGAATTACTGAGTATACTTAACAGAGTTTCTACAGCCTAATTTTTTTTTGGCTGATTGTGCTGTCTCTTTACAGTGTCTGAGAACGTTGGTTGGACATACGGGTGGTGTCTGGTCATCTCAGATGAGAGATAACATCATTATCAGTGGTTCCACAGACAGAACGTTAAAAGTATGGAATGCAGAAACTGGGGAATGTATACACACACTTTACGGACATACCTCCACTGTGCGATGCATGCATCTACATGAAAAAAGGTTTGTCTCTCAATGTTTCTTCATTTATTTATTACAAATATTTATATAGCACTGACAATTTACACACTGCCTTACATGTGGTACATTCACATCAGTCCCTGCCCTCAAGGAGCTTACAATTAAAGACCCCTACCTCACACACATAAACACAAATACTAGGGCCAATTTAGACAGGATCCTATTAACTGACAGGCATGTCTTTGGAGTGTGGGAAGAATCCGGAGTACCCGAAGGAAACCCACACAAACACAGGGAGAATATGCAAACTCCACCATGATAGTGTCCTGACTGGGATTTCAACCAGGGACCCTAGTGCTGGGGGAAGTACTAACACATAGCCACTGTTCTGCCTTTTTAATTTAAACATACACAATTTATAACAATGTTTTTCTAAGTTTGATTAAGAGAAATAGACTTTGCTAAATGTAGGTACCATTCATAAATTAAGTACCAAGCACAGTATGCGATTTTCCTCCTGCACTCCACATATGTAATTGTAGGTTAAAATGTGCTGAGAGGAATAAGTGGGTGCCACTGCTGATCTCTGCTAAAAATGCTATTTGCATCATGTGGTATTTGCACTGATGCCTAACTCTCTAACCTTTAGGTCTACTTTATATTTACATATTAGTGTGATAAAGGCACTTATATAGAGAGCTACCACTGGTTTTTCTAGGGTACAGTCTCTTGTATATCCTGGCAACAAAATGGATGTATCACAGAACCCCCTTGTGGAAATTTTTGTTGTGTCGACATCTGTTTTGTCTGTCAGTTTCATTTGTTTTAACAATCTGTTGTTTGCTCTGGCATAAAGTCGAAAGCCAGGTCAGTAGTAACATGTGAGAAAATACCTCTCCTCTTGTGTTTTCTAAAGAAGGCAGCAGGAACTGTTCATATTTACTCCAATTGTATGTTGCATTATGTCCTCTCTTTTACAGGGTAGTGAGCGGGTCACGAGATGCCACCCTTCGAGTCTGGGATATTGAAACAGGCCAGTGCTTACATGTTCTGATGGGGCATGTAGCAGCTGTTCGCTGTGTTCAGTACGATGGACGGAGGGTAGTTAGCGGGGCTTATGATTTCATGGTGAAAGTCTGGGATCCAGAGACCGAAACCTGTTTACACACGCTGCAAGGCCACACAAACAGAGTCTATTCTTTACAGGTATGATAACATATTTACATGAGAACAGCTTATTTTCTTTCTTTCATCTGCATTGTCCTTCTAGCTTTTTGTTAAACTTACAGTGCCTTGCAAAGCATCATTTTATTGAGCTATGCATGCTTCGGTTATAAATGCATGTAGGTCAAATGCCACCCCGATTTGTATTTACTTTGCTCAGAGCTCATTATAATGTGCCCTTACCGTCAGGCTCTGTGCTCTTTTTATCCTGTCTCTAGAAATGCCCTCTGGTTATGAGACACATCATATTTCTTGCTGTGATTGGCTATGCCATTTTAGGTCACCAATTAGCTGCATATTACTATCTGAATGTTGTAAAATTATTTTTTCTAACCTGGTTTAATTTTCTAGCAAGTCAGGCCAATGTCCTTTTTGGTGTCATGATATTTTGTTTTATACCTCTGCAAGCAAAGAAATGAATGTTTAAGATTTCATCAAATATTCATGACCAGCAATCCATTTGAAGTGCTGTTAACATGTTCTATGTTAAAAAGACAAGTGCAGAGTAAAAAAATGTTTGGCATTGCCAGTTTTCCTTGTATTATACAAATTCCAACTCATGGCCACAGGACAAATTCACCCCACTACACATATACATTTTAGCTGAACAAAACACAATGCAGAATAAAAATACAACCGCAAGCTGTTATGGGGTTCTTTTTCCTGTAACAGTCATGTCCATGTGGAAGAGTTCAAAAGTTGAGGAGCCACATAGATATCTGTTAGAAGAGACCGACTGATTTCAGAAGGCAGCTAAGTTGCGTTCCCAGCTTTAGAAACCGAGAGGTCGTATTCAAAGACTGGAACAGCTATGCATTTGGAAACTACAGGAAAAGTTATATTTAGACTGGAGGTTATTTACACTATTTATAAATTCTTTTACTGGAAATTAGAACCTGGAAGTTTTGTGTTTGATGTAATTTTAGGCTAAATGCATGAAGGAAGATGAGACTTCTTCTGTTAGAAATTGTGCGATATCTATTTCTAGTCTGCATTTTGAATTATATTTTATACTGTTGAGTGCTGGGATCTTAATTACTTTTTAACCTTAGCACTCTTTGCCCAAGGACAATAAACACGTCTGTAAGTTTTAAACAATAGTGCCTTAATTTTTTGATTTATCAACTTTTGTGTGACATCATCATTGCCACCTTTATTGTTTGCATTGCCCAAGTGACAATGGGGGGGGTTCAGATCAGGTGGCATACATCACATCAGTCATGCCCTGCTATGGGTAGATGAGGACTACATTTCCTGTAATACCATGCTGAGACATGCTAGCGGGTCATTCCTGCAATGTGAAGATCACACCTACGCACAAAAGAAACATGTTACTGCTCTGTTATATACTGCTAGGCAGAAGAATGTGACCAGGAGCCCTTTTCCATAAGGAGAAAACAGCGGCGCTCAGTCACACAACTGGAAAAACAAAGATCGCACAAATATAATGGGCATATTTGGGCTACAGTAAAGAGGGGGAAGAACAAACTTAAAAAAACAAACAAACCCATAACCATGGGTCATGTAAGGACCTTCTGATATACAGAGGCCTCACACACAACAAGAAGTTTTATGTCATGAAATTTTCAGAATTTACATTTTCTCTGCTAAACATGAAACTTAAATATGTATCTACTTTTTTTCAAATTGCAGTTTGATGGCATCCATGTAGTCAGTGGATCTTTGGATACCTCAATAAGAGTCTGGGATGTGGAGACTGGAAATTGTATTCACACGTTAACTGGGCACCAGTCATTAACCAGTGGAATGGAACTTAAGGATAACATTCTTGTCTCGGGAAATGCAGATTCTACTGTTAAAATATGGGACATTAAAACAGGACAGTGTTTACAAACATTGCAAGGTATGTCATCTAAATTCTCTTCACTAGATTGGTATACTCAGGATATTCCACAAAGCTTAAAGCATAATTGTTATTTTAGTATGTTTATTTTTTAAAAGCTACCATTCTTGCTTCCCTTCAAACACCAAAATCTTCTACTTGCTTACCCCTGCTCTTCCAAGATCTTTGCTGTGCACAACGTATCTGAAGTGCTCTCCTACAGCCATGCTCTTCAACAATCTATTTATTCCTATGATTTATCATGTGTGTCACTGGTAGATGGCCTTTCTATTGAAATGAATAGGGTATTAAGTTATTTTCTCACCTTTACATAATCTAGTTTGCCCTTTTTTGCTAAACACAAAAACATTTTTTTTATTAAATTAAACTTGTTATACTCACCTGCTCTGTGCAGTAGTATTGTACAGAGTGGCCCCTATCATCCTCTTCTCGTGTCCCCTGCAGACAATTTCGACAACTCCTGTTCTTCATGTGTCCCCATAGCAAGCAATTTGCTATAGAGGCACACAGTGTCTGCTCGCTCCCAAGCTGTGTGTCCATAGATTTGCACAATGGGACAGCCCCGCCCCTCACTTACTGCTTACTGCATTTGATTGACAGCAGCAGGAGCCAATTGTCTCCTGCTGCTCAAGTGCTGTGTGAAGGGGGAGATGGGAGAATACACCGTGTTCCAAATTATTATGCAAATTATATTTTTCTCATTTACCTAAATAATTGATGTAAATAACAGTCAGCATAATTGTCATGTTCTCAACTATTAAGAGTACATTTCAAATTTTATTGAACAAACCTCCTAATGATAACAGGATTTTTGTTTAAACATAAACTTACAATGCACTGTTCCAAATTATTACGCACAGTAAGTTTCAAAATACTTTATAGGTTGTAAAGAACTGAAAATTGTCATTTGTTGTGTTTGCAGCGTATTTACTGAAATCAAAAGCTATTTCAATCAAACTTTTAACAATGTTTTAAACTTTTTTAAACATTTTAACAGGTTACGTTACATTTTAACATAGGACCCCTTATTTGATAGCAGCTTCACAAGTCTTGCATCCATTGAACTTGTGAGTTTTTGGACAGTTTCTGCTTGAATTTGTTTGTAAGATGTCAGAATAGCCTCCCAGAGCTGCTGTTTGGATGTAAACTGCCTCCCACCCTCTTAGATGTTTTGCTTGAGGATGCTCCAAAGGTTCTCAATAGGATTGAGGTCAGGGGAGGATGGAGGCCACATCATGACTTTCCCTCCTTTTATCCCCATAGCAGCCATTGATGCAGAGGTATTCTTTGCAGCATGAGATGGTGCATTGTCATGCATGAAGATGATTTTATTACGGAAAGCATAGTTCTTCCTTCTGTACCAGGGAAGAAAAGTGGTCAGTCATAAACTCCACATACTTGCAGAGGTCATCTTTACACCTTCGGGGATTCTAAAGGGGCCGACCAGCTCTGTTCCCATGATTCCGGCCCAAAACATGACTCTACACCTTGATGTCCGTTGGACTCCAGAGGCACCAGCAGCTTCAAATATCTGTTTGCTGCTATGTAATAGTGTTTTAGCAGCTGCTCTCTTGATCCGATGCATGGATCTGGCAGAAATCTTCCTCAATGTGCCTTTATCTGCACGAACCCGTCTGTGCTCTGAATCAGCCACAAATCTCTTAATAGTGCTATGATCACGCTTACGTTTTCGTGAAATATCTAACGTTTTCATACCTCATCCAAGGCATTGAACTATTTCACTCTTTTCGGCAGCAGAGAGATCCTTTTTCTTCCCCATATTGCTTGAAAATGGTGCTGTACTTAATAATGTCGAACACCCTCCTTTAGTAGTTTTCCTTAAATTGGGCTCACCGGCCAATCTAATTATCACAGGTGTCCAAGATTGTATTCAGTGATCAAAAGAGCCCTGAGACACAATGCCATCCATGAGTTAAACTGAAAAACAAAATATTTCATCTTTGTGACACCTAAATAGAATTTGCATAATAATTTGGAACAGGGTGTAGATTCAACCATGTGCAGTGCTGGATCTTTTCTCCCCTCTTTTTCGCTTCACACAGGGAAGGGGTAGATACAGAGAAATAGAAAATGTTTCTTACCTTAATACAACAAATGCATTTAAGATGAAAAAAAAAACTTTTTAGCTTTAGTATCACTTTAGCCACTCATCCTGATCCATATAGTCCTGGAAAAGGAATACACCTGGGTATAGTTTATCAACCCTTCTACAGATAGGTCTCTTAATACCTACAGAAAGCATTCATATTCAAGCTTTCTTTCTTGGTTTCACTTTTTAATGCAAATTTGCATCTTTTTGGTGTATGTGAGGCTGTACAAACCTCTATCTTGTAGTTTTTTGAGGAGTGCAAGATGAAACTTAAATGTTGCTATAAGCATCGCTCCACTGGAACTGTAACACTGCTGTAGGATGCTCCTTTTTGTTGTTGGGTTGCTATAGTCATCACCTCCACTTCTCTTTTACTTAGGTAGTACACAAAACAAATCTGTCATGCAGTCCACTTTTAGAAAACACAATGATGAATGTGTGTTACAGAAATTACTTTTATGTAGTTTTGATTTGCTTTGTGTAAACGGTTTACGTGTGGTAAAACTAGTTAATTTTGGTTAGGGAGAAAATCACAGAGAAAATAAAAGGTCCATTGTCTCATCTTCCTCTGTGCTCCTATTCTTTGGAAGGAGAAAGCCCACTATTCTTACGTGATTTATTTGACTAGACAGCTTATGCTGCCTTGCAGTCCAATTAAATCAGCCAGTCTTGTAAGGTGCAACTAACCCTCTGGATACAGGCTAGGACTTACTGTTGATATGACATTTCCTGAGCATTCTTCATGGTCTGCTAACCAAATATATCATTACAATTGTATTATGGCATTGCAAAATTCATCCGTCCCTATGTAATTACATGGCATTCTATTTTATTGAGATCGCAAACCGATATTTCTATGACATTTTAGGACCAGTCTGGAAATGTTTGCACAAACATGTTATTAATTTTCTTTGCATAAGGTGTTTAGTATCTGGTTGCCTCCTGGCAGTTTTTGCACACATATGCATACATTTAGCCACATTGCATGTAGTGTAATGTAGTGTTTACCAAGCTAGTCCATTTGAACAGCAATTCATTTGTTTGAACCAAGATTCATTTAATTGTGCTTATGTTTCCTGAGCAAAGGAAACACAAGCACCAAAGTTGCTGCTGTTGGTCTTATAAAATCTACAAGCACGCTGTTTAAAGAATAAGTTCACCTTTTTACCAAAATTAATAAATGCACATTTTTTTCCATATGCATTATTTTTGATTGCATGAGCCTGGATACCATTTCACCAGCAATCAGCAGATCGCTGGTGCCCTGCAGGTCTGTCAGTATATCTGCTTGCCCGTACGGGATGTACAAGTAAGCTGATATACTGGCAGAAAGAATGAACCATCACAGTGCCCCACAGCACCCTGGTAGTTCATTGAGATCTTCAAGCCGACAGCCACTAAGGCTGTCAGGACTTGTAGTTTCTCATTCACAGAGGACTGTGAATGAGTGAAGCAGTCGGGCGGGTGGAGCCCCGCATGGCCACGTTTTGTAAACATTGGACAGCTAGTGGTGGGAGAGGAGAAGCTGGGGAGTAGGGGTCGGTGCATTCATAGCATGTTATACCCTGAATATGGGTGTAAAAATTTATGAAAGATACACCTGTCCTTTAATAAACGCCATTCGTGATATTTTGATATCACGAATGGCGTTTATTATGGCTATGGTGTCAAAGTGGCAAATGCCACTAAGGATGGTCGCACAGGTGTTGCTCTAAAAACCGGTTTCTTAACTATGTTAAAGTATAACTAAAGGCAAGTTGTTGGTTTTTTTTCATAGTTTTGGTTAGCGTGAAGGAGGATTAGAATCCCTGTCAGGCTTTTATTGCTGTTTGTGCCCCCATTAGGGAGATTCTCTCTCTCTCTATTTGTCCTGTTTACCGTTATCATTGAAAGTGAAAGTAAAAGAAAATCTCAAGTTTTGGGTTGTACCCAGAATAATAATAGGGGGAAATCTTCTGATAGGGATACTAGTTCTGGTGAACTGGGGGGTCCCCAAGGAATTCCCTTAATTTGCAGGGCTTTCCTCTAACGTCCTGTTTGGCTATGGAACAGGAAGTGAAATCTCTGTAATAGGACACAGATGGCAAAATAAAAAATATGACGGGTTATAAACCTGCCTTGCACTATACAAAATGGAAAAAAAGAGTGTTGCATATAGTTCTACTTTAGTGATGGCCACATACCAAAACACACTATGTAGAAGTTGGAAATCTAAAATATTTTTTTGCTTAGGACGTTATTAAAAATGTCTGTAAAATTCCGACTTTTATCATAACTGTTCTGGGCTCACTGAAATCATCATAATCCATTAGCCTATGTTTTTGTGGCCTGTTTGTCTGCATTACTTACAGTCAGGTGAGATTCCTTAAACTCTGTCCTACAGAATGTATTTGCCCAGTTAGGTTCTGCTTAAGGGCTTCTGTTTACAGAGCTGATTTAGTTATTTCTAAATGTTCGAGGTCTGCATGCTTCTTTTATGCTGGCTTTCAAATATTTCAGGAATTGTATACTTGTGTTATTCAGACATTGGTCAATAAACTCTTTTATGTGTGCTTGTGCATGAAAAATAATATCCTGTTGCACATTTTCTTCCTAGGTCCCAACAAACATCAAAGTGCTGTGACCTGTTTACAGTTTAACAAGAACTTTGTAATAACCAGCTCAGATGATGGGACTGTAAAACTGTGGGACTTGAAAACGGGTGAATTTATTCGGAACCTTGTCACGTTGGAAAGTGGTGGAAGTGGAGGCGTTGTGTGGCGAATTCGAGCTTCCAACACAAAGCTTGTTTGCGCTGTTGGAAGTAGAAATGGGACAGAGGAGACAAAGCTGCTGGTGCTGGACTTTGATGTGGACATGAAGTGAAGGCTGGGGAAATTAATTTGTCCAAATTTATAGACTATGTAACACCCTCTTTTTATTTTTGGCCTCCCACTTCTTACCTAGTCCTTCCCTCCAAAAATATCCATTGGCCTCTGTTAACAGGATCTCAGCTTTGGGCAACATGAAGCAGACCTACATACGCAGATGAGAAGACATCTTGTCACAGAAAGACTTGACGTTTTGATGTGGACTACCTTTTTCTTTTGTGAAAAGGAGGACTCTCAAAACGGAACCAGGTGCAATTATTTCTGAATAACGTCTTCAAATTGTTCACAAGGCAGCACCAGTAGTCTACATGAGATTCGGTGGACTGTCCTTAAAGCTAGACCTTAACTCGCAGCTTCACAAATCGCTGGTTGAATTTGCAAGAGAGCAGTTGCAACAAAGTCATTTTCTCTTTTTTGGAAATGCTGAAAAAATTACTGTGAATTGTTTTTGTATAGTTCTGTCACTTTTTTTTTTTTTGCCGACTATTGCCAATGTCAAGTCAATCACAGTATTAGCCTCTGTTTCTCTCTTTACTGTTGCTTCCATCTACACTATTCAATGCATACGTTGCTCTGGGGTGGCAAGCTTGTCTTTATGTTCTCAGACGGATATAAATCTTGATGCTGGTGCTAGCAAAGTAGGTCTTTATAAATGGGATTGTTGTCCCACAGCTGTACTGTATTCCCAGTGGCCAAACATATTTATGCTGCTAAATGAAAGGAGAAAAAAAGCAAATTTTTTTTTTAATTATTATTTTACTGCTGTGACGTTTTAGTCCCAGACTGAATTCCAAATTTCTTCTAGTTTGGATACAGAAAAAAGACTTTTTGCCACTGAAATATGTATCCATGGTGCCTCTAAGAGGCCGTAAGTGGGACAGTTTCAGACAATTAAGAGTGAAGTTTGCTTGCAAAAGAAAAATGACATATGAGTGTGTGCAAAGCTTATTTTCTTGTTTTTGAGCAAAATGTAAACACATTCCTTGGAACAAAGCTATTGTAGCCTGTTCTGTTGGGAACTTTTTGTTTTGAGGCTGTGGTGAATGTAACAAAAATGCATTACAACTGACAAAAACGTTTTAAAAAACAAAACAAGAAAAATATTACTTGTTAGGCTCAACAAATGACAGTATTCGAGGGGTAGTCAGCTGTTACAGTCAAATAGGGCATGTGGACGAGTGAAGCAGAGAAGGCAAATGGAGAATTTTTTTTTTTTTTTTTTTTTGTGGTGCAAGCTTCACGTGCAGATAAGACCATACAATTGTCAAATAATTTGCCTCATGTTCCAAGAGTCACAACTCAAGCTGAACTGTGAAAAGTGGTTTAACACTGTATCCTATGCGATATTTTGGATTTGTTTCTAAGAATTTTTTTTTTCCTCCTCATCCTATATTTTTGTTTTATTATTTATAGTCTGGTTTTAAAATAATCAGATTCCATTTCGTTCATTTTACAGTTCTGTAACAACCTGATGTGATGGAGGAAAACATTGTTTAAAGGGATTGTGTCTATGGTTTGATTCACTTAGAAATTTTATTTTCTTATAACTTAAGTGCAATAAAATGTGTTTTTTCATGTTACACATTTTTTAATTTGTGTTGTTTTTTGTTTGCTTCACTTGATCTGTCTAAAAAAAATGCATACTTTTAAAACAAATTTTTTTTATTTTTCATAACCGAATGTTGCCAAAGATAAATAGTACTTTTTGCTCTTGCTCTATTTTCTTAGAGGTACTTTTCATATGTATTGTATTTATTGATATAACACAAATATATCAGATTTTTTTAAATATATGTAACAAAAATATAGTGTGTGTGTGAGAGTGTGTGTGTGTTACTGTGCAAACGTGTAAAATATGCTGTAAATTAAGAGTGCTTTCAGAAATTGAGGTGTTAATGGTTTTTTTTTTTTTTTTATCAATTAAAGTGGAAAGTAAATGAACAGAAGCGAAATCCACATAAAATCAATATTTGGCCTTCAAAACAGCACCAATTTTTCTAGGTACACACAGTGCTTGTGCACAGTTTTTGAAGGAACTTGGCAGGTAGGTTTTTCCAGATATCTTGAAGAACTAACCACAGATCGTCTGTTGATGCTGGCTGTCTCAAATTCTTCTGTCTCTTCATGTAACCCTAGACAGATTCGATGATGTTGAGATCAGGGCTCTGTGGGGACCAAACCATCACTTGCAGGACTTCTTGTTCTTCTTTACACGGATGATACAGTAGTTCTTAATGACACTGGCTATATATTTGGGGTTGTTGTCCTGCTGCAGAATCAATTTAGGGCCAATTGCACGCCTCTCTGATGGTATGACATGATGGATAATTATCTGCCTGTATTTCTCAGTATTAAGGACACCACTGATCCTAACTAAATTTCGAATTCCATTTGCAGAAATGCAGCCCCAAACGTGCAAGGAACCTCCACCATGCTTCACTGTTGCCTGCAGACATTCATTATTGTACTGCTCTCTAGACCTTTGAAAAACAAACTGCCTCCTGCTACAGCCAAATAGTTCAAATGTTGATCAGTCCAGAGCACCTGCTGTCATTTCTTTGCACCCCTTAGCCTGTTTTTTTTGGCTACAATTCTTCCAGACAGTAGATGGGTGTACTTGGGACCTACTGGTTTCTGAAAGTTCTGTGCCGATGGCACTACTGGACATCTTCAAAGCGAAGTAAAAATTATGTGTCTTTCATCTGCTGCAATAAGTTTCCTTGGCCAACCCCTGCGTCTACAGTCCTCAACACTGAACAGCCCATCTTGAAATCCCAGTCTGCTTTGAAATCTTTGCCTGGGAGAGACCTTGCTTATGCAGTATAACTACCTTGTGTCTTGTTGCTGTGCTCAGTCTTGCCCTGGTGTGTGACATGAAACTATCTTCTACAACCTCACCTTAGTAGCAGAGTTTTGCTGTTTCTTACCCAGTTTTAAGCTTCCTACACAGATGTATCTGTTTCAGTTAATGACTGTGTTTCAACATACATATGAAACTGATGATCATTAGCACCTTCTTGGTATAATTGGTTAATCATACACCTGACTTTAAACACTTTTATTATTTTGGTGTTTTACTTTTACATACACCTGACTCTAATACTACAAAATCCCTGATTTGATGCAGGTTTGAAGCCAAATGGCAGTCACACGAAATAGTGAGTGGATATAGATTTTTCTTCTGTTAAATAATTAAAAAATATATATTTGAAAGCATTCTTCTGTATTTTTTTGAAAGCATTCTCACTTTACTGCATTTCTTCATACCTGCATAAAGCGTTTGTACTGTATGTGTATATAGTGAGAGAGGACATTAGAACACCTGGAGAAGACCAACATAAAGAGAGACAGTACAGATCCTATGCTGGTAGGATACTTGGTGAGAGCTGAACCTAGGACCCCAGTGCATCTACCTTGACTAAGGCCCCAGTTCCAGCTTCAGAAAAACCACCCCAAAGCATGATGCTACCACCACCATGCTTCACTGTGGGTATGGTGTTCTTTTGGTGATGTGCGGTGTTGTTTTTGTGCCAAACATATCTTTTGGAATTATGGCCAAAAAGTTCAACCTTGGTTTCATCAGGCCAGAACATATTTTCCCACATGCTTTTGGGAGACTTCAGATGTGTTTTGCAAAATTTAGCCGGTCTTGGACGTTTTTCTTTGTAAGAAAAGGCTTCCGTCTTGCCACTCAACCCCATAGCCCAGACATATGAAGAATACAGGAGATTGTTGTCACATGTACCATACAGCTAGAACTTGCCAGATATTCATGCAGCTCCTTTAATGTTGCTGTAGGTCTCTTGGCAGCCTCCCAGATTAGTTTTCTTCTCTTCTGTTCATCAATTTTGGAGGGACATCCAGTTCTTGGTTGTCATGGATGCACCATATTTTCTCTACTTGATGATGACTGTCTTCACTGTGTTCCATGGTATATCTAATGCCTTGGAAATTCTTTTGTACCCTTATCCTGACTGAGACCTTTTAACAATGAGATCCCTCTGATGCTTTGGAAGCTCTCTGCGGACCATGGCTTTTGCTGTAAAATGCAACTAAGAAAATGTCAGGAAAGACCTACTAGAACAGCTGAACTTTATCTGGGGTTAATCAGAGGCAGTTTACGTTATGGCAGGTGTGTACTGACTCCTATTTAACATGATTTTGAATGTGATTGCTTAATTCTGAACACAGCTACATCCCCAGTTATAAGAGGGTGTGCACACTTATGCAACCACATTATTTTAGTTTTTTATGTTTACTTCCCACCCCCAAAAGGTCACATTAAAGGAGGAAAAAGTTCTGAAATGATTTATCTTTGTCTCATTTTTTACATCACAGAAACCTGACATTTTAACGGGGGTTTAGACTTTATATCCACTGTAGCAGTCTTGTGACCTCTATCAATGTCCAGCTGAGCCCTGGTTAAAGCTTGTAGAAGGAGTTTTCATTCTGCTCTGACTGTCTTATATAGGCTGCATAACCCCTGACCCTCTATATGGACAGTGCTGATTAGCCCTATGCTGATCACATGCTCCCTTTGAAAAAAAAAAAAAAAAATCTCTCTAGCAATACACACTAAACTGAGCATGTGCAGTGTGACTCCTAGGGCTCTGTACTATCAGCAGATGGATTGGGGACAGTAGGAGAAGGGGAGGCCCAGAGAAGACAGGATCAAACAGCCTTTTTACACTATGTGGAGGATTAGCCCCTTAGGTTCCACAGTGAGTATAACAAGCATGCTTTATTGCATATACAGGCTGATTTTACTTTTGTTGGTTTAATAACACTTTAGGGAAATTTAAATACATAATGTGATTTCAGATCAAATGTAATTTTGTTTTGGGCCTTGTGATCTCTTATGAACACCCATTTAGGCCTTTAATGCAAAGCAACTCTGACTGAAAGATTCAAAAACCTTTTTTCCCATCATATTTCAGTGCTTCATTGTCACTCTGCATTATGTCTTTGTCTATAATTATGTCAAGTTAAGTAATA